GGCCCTGTGATAGACACTACGCCATCATCTGCAAGTTGTCTCAACGTGCAATTGTCACTAAGACAATTGTCAATTTCTCTAACGTAGAAATTGTACAAAAGGGGGCTTAAACATGAGCCTTGGGGGAGACCCATGTAGCTAAATCGAAAAGCTGTAGAGTTTCCATGAGAAAAGCTCATATGTTTTTCTGACAGCAAATTGTACAAAAAATTATTAATTAATGGAGACAATCCACAAATGTGGAGTTTCTCTGAAAGAACTTCAACGGATACTGAATCAAAAGCCCCCTTGATATCCAAGAACACAGAAGCCATTTGCTCTTTCTTAGCAAAAGCTAACTGAATTTCCGAGGAAAGCAACGCGAGACAGTCGTTCGTTCCCTTACCCCTACGGAAACCAAATTGAGTATCTGAAAGAAGGTGGTTCGTCTCAACCCATTTGTCGAGGCGAAAAAGGATCATTTTCTCCATCAATTTCCGAATACACGACAGCATCGCGATGGGCCGATACGAATTGTGATCCGACGCGGGTTTATCAGGCTTTTTAATGGCTATCACCCTCACTCGTCTCCAATCGTCGGGAACAATATTGAGCTCCAAGAACTGATTGTACAAGTTCAACATGCGCCTCTTAGCGACGTCTGGGAGGTTTTTCAGCAAGTTGAACTTGATTCTATCAGATCCCGGGGCAGAATTGCCACACGAAAGGAGAGCGAGTGAAAGTTCCACCATTGAAAAAGGCTGACTGATTTCGTCTACCGAATTCGCGTTTTCGCGAGGAATCAACTGCGACGGCACGGAATCCGGACACACTTTTCGCGCGAATTTAAGAATCCATTGATCCGAGCATTCCTCGCTTTCGTTGTTAGTAGACCGGTTACGCATTCTTCGCGCCGTACTCCAAAGCGTATTCATAGACGTTTCGCGCGACAATCCGTCTACAAACTGCCGCCAGTAACCCCGTTTTTTGGCCTTGATGAGGCTCTTGAGTTCGCGTTCAAGAGATGTGTATGCGTCGAAATGCTCGCGTGTTCCGCGTTTCCGAAAAAGTTTAAACGCGTCGGACTTTTTACGGTAAACCTCCGTGCATTGTTGATCCCACCAGAGCGATGGTGTTTTCTTACGAATAGACGATCGCGGCACCGGTCGTGTTTGAGCTTGAAGTGCGCTGTCGACGATGAGATTAGAGAGGAAATTATATTCCTCCAACGGCGGAAGCTCTTCCACTGACGATATAGTATCGTCTATCGCGGATTGGAACTTAGTCCAATCAATGTTACGGGTTAGATCATACGCGACGTTAACGGATTCTGACGAGTTGAACCCACTGGCAATCGAAATTTTGATCGGCAGATGATCACTACCGTGCGGATCCTGGATTACATGCCAAGTGCAATCCAACGATAGTGAATTGGAGCAAAAGGTGAGGTCTAATCTGCTACCATTCGAGGATGGGCCAGCCAAACGTGTTACTTCTCCATTGTTAAGTATTGTCATGTTGAAGTTGTCGCAGAGATCATAAATCAAAGTAGAACGGTTATCATCGTACAGCTCCCCCCAGCCTGTACCGTGGGAGTTAAAATCTCCCATGATCAACCATGGAGCGGGAAGTACCGCACATATGTCGAAAAGTTGTTTGCGATTAACAGAGACTCTAGGAGCAATATATACAGAAGCAATACAAAGGCTCTTACCTTTAATGGTAGCCTGACATGCGACAACTTCAATACCGGGGAATTCGGGAAGATTCACTCTATAGAAGGAATGGCACTTTTTGATCCCCAAAAGTACCCCTCCTCCACGTGAATCCTCACGATCCAATCGAATAATGTTAAAATCAAAAAAAGGGAGATCAATTTCTGAAGAGAGCCATGTTTCACAGAGGGCAAATGCATCGCAATTATTGTTATGGACTAAATACTTGAACGAATCTAATTTCGGAGACTTCGACAATTCCACTGTAGAACAGTGATCAAATCCCCGACCTCGTTTGGAAAATTATCCATCGAAGGAGATGATAGCTGCAAGAAGGGGCCATTTTGAAGTCAATTGCTTCAAGAAGGATTTCACAGTCGGAAGCAATGTGAGGACAATGCTTTTCAGAGGATCAGAAATGTTGAGGTATTTGAGAATACCGTCCACAATGTCATCAAATGAGAACAGCCCAGATGAAGAAGGGGTTTCTGTTCTTAAAATTGGGGCATCAGGGGTTTTTGATGTCCCCGGAAGAGGTGGAAAATCCTGGGTATAATCAGTTCTGCGGAATCCAGGAGGAGTAGAAGTCTCCTTTTTTCCACCACTACTTGATTTGGGCAAGCTGATTTGGGGTTCTTGATCTGCAACTTTCCGCGAACGGATGCGTTTTCGTTTCCGGGCAGAACCTTCCGGAAAACTGAAAGAAACTCCCTCCTCAGCCAAGTCAGAGCCAGACTCGTCATCTGACAAAAGAGCGAAGGGATTTGTTTCGTTGGTCGATGGCTTGGCTGTCTTAAGCATTTCTGCAAAAGACCGCCTGGAACGTTCCTTAAGGGAGCGTTTCATTTTGTCCCCGAGCTGTTTGTACGCCGGGCACGACGAGAGAGCATGAGGAGGAGTTCCATTGCAGTACACGCATTTTGGTGCAGTAGCTGCGCAGGCGCCATCCTCATGCTTCTCCCCGCATGTGGAGCAGCGTGCCTTGTTGCCGCAGTGGGAGGCCGTATGTCCCAACCGCTTACAATTCTGGCAGTTCATGACCCGAGGTACAAACAACCGCACAGGAAGACGAAGTTTTCCCAGCTCGATGTATTGAGGAAGGGCAGATCCAGAAAAGGTCACCCGAAACGAGTCTGTGGCGGTAAAACTCTTTTTACCCTCGCTGAGCGATACTGACTTCATTCTATGAACGGCCAGTATCTTTACCGGAGGAAGCAAGGGGTTCTTGAATCGGCCAACCGCTTGCTTCTCCAGTATCTCGGGGTTCAGGCTCGCCTCAGTGACCACGCCTTCGATCTCCACATCAGAGGCTGGAATGTACACCCTATATTCCAGTGTGAAAAACTGGGAAACAGCAATTTCATTGGCCTGTTTCAGGTTAGCGACGGTCACACGAAGTTTGTTGTGCCTAACCTTCGTTATTTCGGTCACAGCAGGGAATCGCTTTGTCAGATCATCAGATATCTGAACAACATTCAAGGGTTTGTTTTTGGGCTGAAAATAGACAACCCATGGGCCAGTCGAGTCATTCGGGTAGGCCCGCAATCTGGAGCTTTTCTCAGCCTGCCCATTGTCAGACTGAGACGACAAACCATGGATGACATCATCATTTTTCTGAGATGATTGGTCATCCATGTCGTCTTCTGACAAAACATCCATTTTGTTCAACTAGTGGGAGCGCAAAACGCTCTCCCACTGAACGCACAGACACAATACACAGAAAACACTACAAACACAGAAATACAAAATGAAAATTTAACTAATGGGGGAGGAAAAGAAACAAAAAACAAAAACTTATCTGATAATTCTATACTACTACCACCGAGCGTTATATGTGTAGGCGTTTACACAGATGGCTGGAAGAGACGCGCTGCGTGGATGACCTTCGCTGTGGTGCACTTGATCGAGGCGCGGTTCTCAGCGCACACAGGCGCACGATGATTGATGAACGATGTAGATGTAGAAACGGGTGCTCACACTCGATGATGATGATACGTAAGCGGGTATGCGTGAGCGCGTATGCGTGACCACGCAACGATGATGCCCAAATTGTTTTGCGAATTACCAATAGCACGGATTAATCGTTCCGAAAATGACACTTTCTACTACAAAAAAACTCACTTTTCGATCAATTTACCGGGAACTATGCCAGGAGTCACTTAGTGAGAAAAAACTGATAATTTATATCAAGCGAATACCGAGAAAACTTCCAAAACAACGGAGCGCGAAACAAGTCGACCGTACTTCTTGCTAGGACGCAGTGAGATGTAAATGCTTCTGAAACGTATAAAATAATATGTTATTATCATGGACATATTTTGTTTTTCTAAAACCTGGACCTGGGAATTTGTTTTCGTAGTTCCGGATTATTCGTACGAAAAAATGCAATACAATTTAATGGACTTAAAAAGAAACTCCTGATTCTGTGACATGATTTTTTCTCGGTGTTTGGACAAATGCTAAAGCTACCGGGTGTCAGAGATTGTTCAAATTCTGACCTTTGAAAAAATGTCGAGAGCACTTTCCTAGACTACTTTTTGACATTTTAGGCTTGGAAAACATGCAAGATCTCGAAGGAAAATAGCCAGGCTACAGGGTCTAGTTTTTTTTTCGGAACCTCTGACAATTTGTGATAGGTCTAAAACCAAATCGAGATCAAACAAATAATCTTTCTAACACACATTTGTTACCAAATAAATCTGTGATTTCATGTAAGTTTTTAAAGATTGTTTTTACTCTCAACATGGTAGTAAAAAAGTGACTTTAGTGACTAAATTTTAAGGAATAGTGACTTTAGTGACCTTTTGATGAAAAAAGTGACTTTTTAGTGACTGGCTTGAAAATAGTGACGAAGTCACTAAAAAGTGACCTGCTACCAGCCCTGCGCAGATCCCGCCTCTCTAGGGTTAACAAACTGGCTGTCTACAATCAAATCATAGCACCTGCAATTTTCTACGCTGCACCGGTGTGGGAATCAAGTGCTCAAACTCACAGGAACAAAGTCCAGGTGGCACAAAACAGAGTGCTTAGGATGATCCTAGATCGTCCTTTCGACACTAGAATAACTATGTGTTTTATTTCAAAGTTCGAGTGGTAGTAAACGTCATATTAACTGCTCGAATGAAGTGATTAATTGAGAGTGATTAATTTTGGCCAAACGATGCCATGCATACTCATGCTAAAAAAGAGCCCCCAATGACTTAATAATAATAGGAATCAACGAAGCCATCAATTCCTATTTCCAAAATCAATAGATATAGGTAACTCCCAATGCACAATCTAAAATTCCTCTAACATCTTTCGCAGCCTAATTGTGGAATATGTCGACGGAGACGAGGCGTTCATCCGTTCCAGTGACTCGCGAACCTTCAACGTCAGGACCCCTCCTTGCTGTTGCTGCTTGCCATTTCTTCATCGATGCGCTGTTACCAAGTAAGCTTGTTCTATTCTTCGTAACCATCATCAAACTCATACCAAAAAAAATCCTCCTAGAAATCGCCTTCTGCTCACGAGGCTTCTCGTACTGCAGCTTCCAATCGTTCAAACTTTACTGTTCGTGGGATTGAACGTCGTTTTCATAGAAGATATCGTAAGTCCGTTTCTGATGTTGCAAAAAACAATCATCTAATCTAGTGCCTATTATTTAACTATTTAAGGAAAACTTCAACAGCATCATCCTCTATTTTGTTCCGTTCATCGTCCTGTCGATTATTCTTGGCGTATGGGGATTGAACATAATCGTTCGCATGGTCAGTCCCCTGCACAGTGAATTCAAATTGATGGTATGGCCGCTTTTTCAGAGTATAACTTTATTCTGACTAACTTACTCTTGTTTCAGGGCAAGTACGTGGTTCTGCAAGCCGTTCTACTTCTTTGCAAAATCCAACCGGTGGTCATCATGGGCATTGTAACGTACGTCACTCCGTCGTGTGACTTTCCGTTGACGTTACAAGTACAAAAGAATGGTATGTACCTCCTAACTTGAACTCTAACAAATAACATCTCAAACTTGTGTACACACTTTCAGCCGTATTCCAAATGTGCCTTTGCGTGGAAATGCTGGTGCTCTCTCTGTGGGCGTTCACGTTGTACAAAACACCGAACAAGAACCAACAGCTGCTAGAAAAACCTCAACCGTCCTAAAGATGCTGCGACTTCCAGAATTACTTAAACAGATTTTAAAGATTCCTTGTGTAAACATGAATAGCATTGATTCATACGAATTCTTGTCGTGCCTAACTGTAGTGATTGTATGTGATAAAAGAAATAAACGTTAGGATAAATGAAAGACCCAAAACTGCCATGATTAGAAAAAGAAAATCCCAGCTTCACTCGTTCCTTTCAATATATTTTATCATATGAAATTACTGATACAAGCTTTTCCTTCAAGTAACTTAGCAAAAAAGAGAATTTTTTACTTCCCCCACAGCAGAACAGCAGCCAGAAGAAGAACCAATTTAAATTTCGTTATCACTGTCATCTTCGTCGACTGCTTCCTGTCCTGCTCTGGTGGCGGCAGTATACATCTCATCCGGTACCACCTGGTGCCGACCGTTCGATGCTTGGCAAACCCAACTAAGCTCCAGCTTAAAGTCCTTGTCCTTTAGCTCGTCGTGGACTTGGTAGATTCTGAAACAAAAAAAAAACGTTCTTCAACTTCACGCAGAAAAAACCAAACCCACAAACAACTTACATTTTTCCGGCGGTGGTAATCAAATCATTGACCGTCATATCAGCCATTTTCAGCTTTTCGATTTCAGTCTTTGCGGTCTGCTTTGCCTTACCAATGGCGCATCCGAAATATCCCTGTGAAAAAAAAAACATTCCCAAATTAACTCCTTCAACAACCTTCCAACACAAACCCATCAACACTCACGCAAGCCACACCGGACGGATCGATCATGTACATTTCCGGTCCCGTTTCCTCCGTCCACGAGGCCAGTATAACGCTCACTCCAAACGGACGCACCGCACTGTACAGAGTGTAGGCATGGAAATAGCTGGACAAACGGTCGTTCAGTTGCTTCAGTGGGATTGGCCGGTCGTACTGTTGCCTGTAATTGCCTGCTTCCTGTCGTGCAATATCGACAATTGCCCGACCATCGGCAATCATGCCACTGATGGCCATCCCGATGGAGGTATCGATGGTGAAAATCCGTGTTCCGGATTCCGGTTCGTACAGCTTGCTGGTAATCAATTTTTCAACCGCCAGCACAATACCATCCTTTCCGCGGAGACCGATCACCGTACCGCTGTTTTCCACCGATTTGCCAGCATACTCGATCTGGAATACTCGTCCGTCTGGCGAAAACTGCGATGCGGACAAATCGTACTGTGGAACCAGATTTCAGTGGGACAAACAAAACATTAATGCATAACCTCAATGAGGGTGTTCCAACTTGATTTGGCAAATATGCGATCGAATCAACACCTGAAACTATTGCGCAAATACTTACACCTGTTCCTATTGAGCTCATCCTTTCGACAACACACTATTTAATGATAAATTATTTTGATTAACAACGATAATTTTCGGAATAATCGAAAGCCGTAAGATGAAACAGCAGAAAACCGACAATGATGATGAGAAAACACAAACTTAACAGTTTTGACAGTTCGACCGAACCGAGTTGCAAGCTTTAGGGCTAATTTCGCGCACAAATGAACAACGGGTGGCAAATGCCCAAGTAAAAATATCCGCAAGGTGGTATCTGCCGGGATTTCCGGGATGTTTTTTTTTTCATTGATTCCGATTAGCTACACGGAACCAATAGACGAGTGCACGGATGGATTTGAGTTCAGTCACTCGACAAAAAGTGATACAGTATTACAATGCTGATAAGTTGATAACTTTTAAATGATCATCATATGATAAATGAAAATTGGGCAAATTATAAGAATTAACTTAAGTAATCATTTTGTTCGACCATTTTCCACAGAGATGGCGCTGTTCCGCTGGTAGGAAGTGATAAAAATCCCCATATAAAAATTGAGAGATGTGGGAATAATTCGCTTTCGGTGCATATTCGGGTGAAAAAAGTGAACGACAACCGAAAGAAATTAATCAGGGACTTTGTCGTTCAGTTTTTTCCCGCAAATTATTGTTAAACAAGCTACAATTAATTAGAAATGATTTTCCCCCATACAGTTTTACCTGCTTTACTACCAGTTCCCAGAGAGCAAAAAATTCAAATTTAAGAGAGAAAATTTGCTCTCACGACCTCAATCTCATGCCATGCCATGTATTTTGTTGACACTCGATTTGTGATTTCCCTTTCACAGATTATACAATAGAGTACCTGTCACTAAAAAATATGTCTGGTACCTCTATATATGCATTTACTTTAACATTTGAAATCCCTCAATTTTTACATATTCTGCGCAAAACATAATTTATGCCCCGCCCCATACATAAAAATCGGCGGGAAATTCTGTGAGGGGTGAGCTATTTTGTGTGCAGAATTTAAACACTTCGGGACTTCGAATAATAATCTAAATGCATATATAAAGGGTTAAACGGTCAAAATTTGGTCAATATCAACTTGACGTATTTCTTTCAATTTTGCATTTAAAAAACCTGAACACCCCTCATTTTGAAGGTGTGTGTGTGTAGAATGTTGCTCCTATTTTGATTTTGGAATTCACTCTTCAGTTGTCAAAATGCCGTCCAAGCAAGAAGAGCAGCGTATCAAAATTTTGCTCGCGCATCGCGAAAATCCGAGCTACTCGCACGCAAAGTTGGCAAAATCGCTAAAAGTTGCCAAATCAACCGTTACAAATGTAATTAAAGTGTTTGGGGAACGTTTGTCGACAGCCAAGAAGTCTGGATCGGGGGGAAATCGAAAACCGGAAGCCGCTGAGACGACAAAGAGAGTTGCCGGTAGTTTCAAGCGAAACCCTAACCTCTCTCTCCGAGATGCCGCAAATAAGCTGGGTGTATCGTCTACAACCGTGCATCGAGCCAAAAAACGAGCCGGACTATCGACTTACAAGAAGGTAGTGACTCCAAATCACGATGATAAACAAAATACGACGGCCAAAGCGCGATCCCGGAGGCTGTACACGACGATGCTGACGAAGTTTGACTGCGTGGTAATGGACGACGAAACCTACGTCAAAGCCGACTACAAGCAGCTTCCGGGACAGGAGTTTTATACGGCAAAAGGAAGGGGAAAGGTAGCAGATGTTTTCAAGCACATGAAACTGTCAAAGTTCGCAACGAAATATCTGGTTTGGCAAGCCATCTGTACCTGTGGCTTGAAAAGCAGCATTTTCATAGCTTCCGGGACTGTCAACCAAGAAATTTACGTGAAAGAGTGTTTGAATAAACGTCTGCTGCCTTTCCTGAAGAAACACGGTTGTTCCGTACTGTTTTGGCCGGATTTGGCATCTTGCCATTACGGTAAAAATGCCATGGAGTGGTACGCCGCCAACAACGTGCAGGTGGTTCCCAAGGACAAGAACCCTCCCAACACGCCAGAGCTCCGCCCAATTGAGAAATACTGGGCTATTGTCAAGCGGAACCTAAAGAAGACCAAAAAAACTGCTAAGGGCGAGCAGCAGTTCAAGGCAAACTGGCTTTCTGCGGCGAAGAAGGTGGACAAGGTGGCTGTATGGCAGGGGTCAAGCGTAAGGCCCGGCAATTCGGATTTGGAAAAGCGGAAGCCCAACTGAATATTTTTCCTGAATTTTATACTAATTGAACTTGAAAAAGAAATTTAATTTTATTTTTTAAATAAACGATTTCACCGATTTACACGCGTTTTCCCTTGACCAAATTTTGACCGTATCACCCTTTAAGGTGATTTTTGCAAATGTAATCGTACTTATTTAAAATAGTTCCAGTGTACCAAAATTGATGAAATTTCGGGTTTGGGTTCCATTTCCAATGCAGATTACGAATATGCATTTAGCTCAATACCCTTAAAGAACCCAATTACGGCCTCCACACGCTTTCGGAATGCACGGCAGGTTCTAATAATGTAGTCTGGATCTATTTCTCTCCAGGTACGGGTCAATGTTTGTTTGAGGCTTGCTGTACTCGGGTGGCGTTTAAAACAGGCCTTGGCCTTCATGACGCGCCATATTGAGTAATCCAGCGGATTAAGATCGGGGCTGGATGGCAGCCAAATATCCTTCGCCCAGAAAGGAAGATGTTCCTGCAACCACTTTTGAGTGTGGTTCGAGGTGTGGCACGGAGCCCCATCTTGTTTAAATACAACATTTGGCTTCGGACCGTACTGTTCTTTGATCCACGGAAGAACATACTTATACTTAAAATCCCGATGTAGACCTCCGTGTTGACCTTGTCGCCTTCTGTAATGAACACCGGGTCCATTTGTGTGCCATCGGAAGCCACCAATCCAAACACCATAAAGCTAGCAGGATGCTTGGTCAGATACACGTTCTTGTGCTCGTCGGCCACGTCTTTTACCGGAAGAGAACTAATATACCTGTCGGTTCTGGAATTTGATACCAGATCGACGGTAAACATGCTCTCGTCGGTGAACAGGATTACCGGATTTTTTCGCTTAAGGAAGTTCAAGATTGTCTTGCATCGTTCGACTCGTAGCTCCCGGATGCGGTTGGTAATCATGTGAGTTTTTTTTTCGTGTCCTGGACTTCACCCCGCAATCTTTCTTTTACGATCTTATTGAACGCACTGGATTCACCCGAATCTTCCTTTTGATAGCAGCGATAACCCTCGGAACCCGAGCTGACCTCGGATGACCTGTGGCCACCTTCGCGGATAGTTGTCCTTTCTTTTCTCGGTCTAAAACCCTTTTGACGGTCCACGGCGATTGAAATGTCTTTTTGCGACATTTGCGCGTGGGGCAAATCACGAACACGCTGCCATTTCGCAATGGTGCAACTGTCAAACTAAGTAAATCATTTTCTTTTATACACAGCCAACTACGGTATGAGCTATAGGTTACGTGCATGCAAAGAAAACCAAGGCATTATATGCACAGGTGAAACGGGAGCCTTATTTGTACGATGGTGCAAACAATATCACGCATACGGTACATAAAATTTCTATGAAAATCACAAGAAATTTACTTTTTGTTTTTACACATATATTTTATCGATTCTAAAAGTAAATCAAAACATAAGCAATGGGAGCTTTCAGTTTTTTTTGTATTGTAGCTGATCTGGGATTCAATCCAAGATTATTAAGGTGTGATGCTGTCGGTATCTTCCATTTGACTACAGCAGCAGATGGGGCCTGTTCCTGGTTGTGATTTGACTTGGAACATTCCATCGGATACAACAATGTTAGTGAGAAGCAACCCTGTATCGATGACCCCCCAAAATGTTGACATGGAAATATTACCGAAACTTCTGTCGTATGGAGTGCACTTAATACCTTGCCAAATACGGTGGAGGTAGAGGAACTAGTCGGTTTATTTATTGAAGTGAAAACTGTCAGCATAAAATTAATTAACCATTAAAAACAATAACAAGCAAGCTGCTAGCGGAAAAAATAGGATTTTTTTCAGCAAAATCCTCGCAATTTTCAGATTATTGGATTGCTGAAAAAATCAGTAAGAAGTATTGCTGTAATCTTTGCTAATTTTCAGTAAAATTGCGTCATTGTGACAGACGTTGCAATTGATCTGGGAATTGCTGGAAGATTCAGCAGGATTATTTTGCTAATCGTTCATCAAGTCCAAAATTGGCAAAAAAAAATACTTATTTTCAACGATTTAAATTGTTAAATGTACATAAATATAAGGTTTTAGTACAACGTTCATGTAGTTTATATGTTTTAATAGTTTTTATTTTAAATAAAAAAAATCATAAACATTTCCCGGGAACCTTCGCCGGAAACCTTTCTAAACGACCCAGTTGTTTCTGGCACCACATTTTTTTTTTCTCTAGCAAAAATGACATTTCTAGACGTCAAAATTTCGTGTTTCGCAGTCGCAAAAAACACACATCAAGGACTTTCGACTTCGTCAGATCTGATCCTTGTCTGGTGTGTGATTTTCTTCTATTGTGTGTGAAAAATCAATTTTGCTGCAGTGAAAATTGAGCAGAAGTAAAACAGCATCCGTGGGACGAATGGCGAAAAATAAATGCACCATTCTGCTCGGGTACGACGATGAACCGATTGCGGACAAGGATAAAGCGTATCTGAACCATACGGTGAACAAGATCGGTGGCGCGGCTGTAAGTATTATTTAAATATGGGTTGAGAGGTTTTCTCATTTTTCTCGGGGCTGGGATAATCGATTCGAATGCTCACTACAGAATTGGCCCGCTTCGGAGATCGGGATTGCACCGTGCCCATTGTGCGGGCAGCATCGTCCGCTGATTTTGCAAATCTACGCGCCGCTGGAGAATTCTCAGTTCCACAGGACGCTATACATTTTTGCCTGTTTGAATGCTCCTTGTTCCACCCAGTCGCAAAGCTGGGTTTGCGTGAGGACCCAAGCACTGGAGAAAAGCCCAGTGGAAAACGAGACTGTTCAGGTTCTGAAAACGGCTGCCAGTAATGTTGCTTGGTGCAGCGGAGCCGACGATTGGGACGATGAGGAAACCGGTGCAGAGGACACCTTCATGCGGGTGGATACCGGGAACGTTCCGGACTTGGCGAATGAAGAGAATGGGAATGTTATAAGGTATGAAAATAGTAAGATATCGGACGAAGATGAGGAGAGTAATTCGTTGGAGAACGACCCAGTACCGGGATTCGGGAATCTGCGAGTCGACGAAAGGAATGCCAACGGAGGTGGAGCCAAGGGAGGGTTGATTGATAATTTATATACGTGCAAAGCGACGGCAGAAATCGAAGGGACGGAAGGCGACGTGGTGGTAGTGGAAACACCTGTTTCGCCCAAGAGAGACTTGTTGGCGTTGCTCAAGCAACCGCAAATCATTCCACGAGATCTGAAGGATCTTACCCTGAAGAGCTTTTACATTAGTGTGGATGAAGAACGCTCGTCGTCTCCGGTTATAAGTGAACATGTGCGCGAGTTGCTGCAGGAATACCAAAAACACGAGGAAGGTGAGTTGGATAAGGGATTCGTTGAAGGTTGATGATGATATGAGCGTTATTATTTCAGTTAAGACGAGCCCAGATAGTCCAATGGGTCATGGAGCAGTTGGCGGTGGTCATCCGGCACCGATGGAGCAGGAACACTATGAAAAAGGCATTCCCATCCACGGTGATCTAATGTTTCACAACTTTATGTCAAAGCTACAGGAAAATCCAGGGCAAATATTGCGATATTCGCGCAATGCTTCACCCGTCTTGATTGCTCCGCTGAAAGAGCTACTTCCACCCATCTGTCAGCACTGTGGCCATGAACTGATGTGTGAAGTTCAAATACTGCCAACTATTATCGAAAAGCTGCGATTAGAGGCTACCGGCGAGAATGCTCCAATCGATTTTGGGAATGTCCTTGTGTGGACTTGCATCAAGAGCTGCTGGGATACACCGGACAAAATGCGAACCGAGCAGGTGCTGGTACAGCAGGAGTCCCTCTCAAAAGGAATTTTGCAGTAGATGGATTCGTAATGTGATCCGCGCCTGTGTAGGAGTAGGTTGAAAAGTGATCTTACCAAAACCGTAAATTTGTTATCCAAGCAGATTATCTCTTGAACGATATTATGCAACCGCTCTTAATACCAACTTATCTGTGACTTTTAACCGTTTTTAGATGCCTAGAGTTAGAGAAAACTTTCTGAATACAGAAAATTAAATAACATTAAACAGGATCGAGTATCGCAATTTTAAAAGCATTTGCAACCAAATATTATCCGTCATATGTCAATTGAACGAGTTACCTTAGCGTCGGCAGAATGAACTAGAAAGAAAAGACGACGACAACATTGAATGTTTAACGTAAACGTATCGAAAAAAGGAACCTAGAAGCATGTGCGCAGCTGAACACGATGATCACCCAGTGGACAGTTTTTTGATAGAACATTTTAATGTGAACCGTTGAAACTTTTAGCAAAGGGTCTTCCTACGTTTTATCTATATAACCAGCAAATACCGAACCGGGAAGACTTACTCTCTAGAAAAGGAACCGATATCCTTCTGGTAGATTTGGATGTTGATTTTACAATGCAAATAAACAGATAGACTCCAATGTTAGCAGTTCCCCTTGAAACAAAATAAAATCTAGGATCACTTGTGTGAAATATTTTATCAAGCATTTCAAAACTAGGTACATGGCAATAGCTGCAGTAACTGTGTAGGATTAACGTGCAAATTTCGTTGACACTGTTTCCTTTACTCTCAGAAACGTTTAGTAGCAGTTAAATGAATCATTATTCAACAACACAATGCAACGTACTAAATAATTAAACCATAAATTGAGCCAACGTTCAAACAGTTGTGTATTTTTCATAGAACACTAGAAAGTTATCCTTCCGGCAGTAGTAGAACAGTAACATTATATGGCAGTGACAACCTGAACTCCAACTTCAGACAACTTCTCCACCTCTCAAGCGCAACACCAGATGTAGCGTGGATCGGTTGATAATGCTGTACTCATCCAACGTGCGGCCGTCCTCCAGCTGCTTGCCGGAGAAAATTATCCGCTGCTGATTCGGCGGGACATCCTCGCGTTGTTCGATCTTCTTCTTCAGGCTGTCCACCGTTTCGTCCGGTTCGACGCTCATCACGATCGTTCTTCCGGCCAGCGTTTTCAGATAGATCTGCATCCTGTACTGCGATCGGCTTGATACTGACTGTTCTACTGTACTTCCGTTCTCGAGTTGAGTGACTTGAAGACAGGCAGGAGCATCAGGCCTTTTATAGTCGGCATCTAACGGCACAAGGACATTGTAGCGTGCCCCGCGTCTAGAATGAATGCTGCAGTAGTGTGCATCACTGTTCTGTAGAACATTCATGCAGTTATTTGGTTGACTACTCTACTAGCATTCTGTCGGTTAGTAGTGTGAATTCAAACTAATTTTAGCCTACGGATAGTGATTGCTCGTAAGATTCGAAACGTAAAAGTTGTCTACGTCGTAGAATTTAGAATATTCACCATGTTTGACACTTCAACCATGTACTGATGTGTCTGTAAAAGATTCTGAATCTGGCGCCGCCACTTCTGTTGAGTATGTCAAAATGCTATATGTAGAATGGATAATGAATCAAATACGAATTGATGCATGAATTAGTAACACAAAACCCAAACTAATAAAATCGAACCTGTTAAGTCGGGATGTGGGTATTGAACGTGAAGCCCCGTACTTCTGTCCTATTGCTAGACAAGGTGTTCCACATCAAAAGCATTACCAAGACCGTTGATTCGAGTGCAATAAATTAGCCAAACTTTTGAGATATTGGAAGGGACAGTCAAGCGACTCAACACAGAATAAACATTTTTTTTGTATGGAAAATACGGTTCAAACGTAAACGAGCATAATATGCATATTATGAGACATGAGTGATGGGCAGGGCAGTTAGATTTACAGATAATTTTGTCGCTTCGTATCACACACAAAGGCATACCACGACTGAACAGACGAACTGCTGTGGCAGGTCAAGTGAAATCATTGAAAGGGGCCGTTCATAATCCAAAACATGATAACTTTTGAATCCCTCCCTAGCCCCTCAGTAGACTATAATAGACTTTTCTGAAACCCCTTCCCCAACCCCTTATTTAACACTGGAAATACCGGGAGCAAATTATTCACGAATCACCCGGTCCGAAATGTTCAACCAGCTGGATAGATCTCGGTGGTTTCTAGTGGTTTCGCGTCCGATAGACTTCTCTGATTTTTGTGAAAGGCGCAAGTATTAGTCCAGAACTTGGGGTAAATTATAAGTATTAGTGCAAGAAAACCTTTGAATTCATCCAAAGTTCTTTACTAATACTTGTGCAATTTTTTTTTTATTTAGGAGTCGTGGAGGCGAACCAGCCCCAGGCTGAAAGCCTCCCTAATAAAGATAAATTAATTAATTAATTATTTAGGAGATTTTCAGCCGTAGGCTGGTTCATCTCCAAAAGCCCGACTCCCCTAGTAACGTTTAGAATTTTTCGGTGAACCCTGAGGGGGTTCTCCTGGGTATTATAATAGGTGTGCTTAGGGTGTTCCCTTGGTACATAGTGGTTTTTACAGAGTTTGTTAACGTTTGTGTTTCGTGGCTGTTCAACGTGATTGGCGGTTCATAATAGGGGTGACAGTGGTCGTTGTAAAGGGTAATGAGATAATCGTTGTGTGGTATGCAGTCTAAAGTCAATCGGGTCCGTGTTCGGTGCGTTGTTATTTTGTATGGGGGGTCGGTGATTAAATTTTATCGAACAATCCAGCATCTTTAAGAAAGGTTATTACAGCAGCTTCCGTGGATGGGTCGTTAGACAGGGCATTGCGTATGTTGTCCGGGATTCCGTTGTGGACCCGGATGTTCTGTTTGAGAGTGTTCGCAGGAGGTTTAGTCGCGTACGGCAATTGGCTTTAGAGTCAGTAAAGTGTGCGTTGAACCTCAGCTCCCGGTCCGGGCGCACTCCGTGAACCTGGATGGTATTTTTGTTGGGTATCGGAATGTTGTTCGCTAAGATGTTCGTTGGTAGCGGCCGATGGCGGGAGCGGCATAGATGGGAAACCACGCTCTTTTCTGGGGACAATACGAAGCCGGCCTTGGAGGCCCATCTTGAAATGGCTGATACAGCAGCTTGCAATTTTCTTCGCAATGCTTTGAGGGTGCGACCGATAGCCAGCAGAACGATCTCGTCTGCATACACAAAGATGAATATTCCTTTGGGAGGTCTCTAAAGCCACCATTCCTTGCATCCAAGAAGATGGTGAACTTGTGTAATTCATAAACGTCAGAGAAGTCTATTTTCAACATTCTTTCACCGATGTCTTACCCATCTAGTTGAAAACTACTGAACACTTGTGTTTTTAGGGATGTTCAAATTTCCTCTGAAACAGTGTAAGTAGCAAATTAAACTATATATTATATAATAGGTATGCCTAATTTTACTGATATTTTAATGTAGCTCCACAGTTCTTCTATAAATTTCACTAGGGCGGTGAACAACCCTTGAATGCTGTATGAGATCTCGCTGCTACCACTATAAAGAACTAATGCATACAATCACCTGCGCATGCCAATCGACAGCTCTTTCTTGTGGTTTCTCTTGCATAGATGATGTATAGTCTCGCCATGGATAATTGCCCTTATTGGTCGTTCCGGGACCACTGGAATGCCCCCGGGGTAAGCTTTATTTATTCTTTAGCAGCGCCTCTACTGTGTTGCTTGACCTATAACGAATATACGTTGTATACGAGTACCCCAAATACAACGTATAGTTCGTCAAATTTTACATTGCAAATGCTATGTAAAATTAGACGAGTCATACGGTGTATTCGGGGTACTCGTATACAACGAATATTCGTTATAAGTCAGGTAACCCAGTAGTGGTCGGATTTGGAATGTTTTGACAGCGATTTATTTTGAAAGGCAGAGTTTAAGATTGTAAGCTCCAGAGCACAATCGAATTGAAGTTATTGGAGACATGTTGCCAAAATCAAATTTGAGGATTGCAACGAGTTTTGCCTGAAATTATTAATTATTTTGTTGGACATTTGTTCTAAAGTCTCAACATTCGAAATTCTATGTAACTCAGTAGTACTGTACCAGGGAGGCATCATCATCAAAATCATCTTCAGAACTTTGTTCTGAATCCTTTGAAGTGCTTTTTTCCTGGTAGTGCAACAACAAGACCATATTGGCACAGCGTAAAGCATGGCCGGTCTAAAAACTTGTTTAAATATTAGAAGTTTTTTCGCCAGACAAAGTTTGGATTTCCTGTTTATAAGAGGATACAAACATTTTATATATTTGTTACATTTGGCTTGAATGCCCTCAATGTGATCTTTAAAAGTTAATTTTTGGTCAAGTACTAATCCAAGATATTTCACTTGGTTTGACCAGTGAATTTAACTCCGTTCATAGTGACTATGTGACTACTACTAGGTTTCAAAAACGAACCTCTAGGCTTATGTGGAAATACCATAAGTTGAGTTTTGGAAGCGTTGGGAGAAATCTTCCATTTTTGTAAATAAGAAGAGAAAATATCTAAACTTTTCTGCAGTCTGCTGCAAATAACACGAAGACTTCTTCCTTTAGCGGAAATGCCTGTGTCATCAGCGAACAAAGATTTGTGGCAACCCTGAGGCAAATCAGGGAGATCCGAAGTGAAAATGTTATACAATATAGGCCCAAGAATGCTACCCTGAGGAATTCCTGCTCTAACAGGTAGTCGATTAGATTTGGAATTTTGATAATTTACCTGCAGAGTTCTGTCAGTTAAATAATTTTGAACTAATTTCATAATATAAAGCGGAAAATTAAACTTTTTCAATTTAGCAATCAAATCTTCATGCCAAACACTGTCGAATGCTTTTTCTATGTCTAGAAGAGCAACTCCAGTTGAGTGGCCTTCAGATTTGTTTGAACGAATTAAATTGGTAACTCTTAAGAGTTGATGAGTAGTTGAATGCCCATGGCGAAATCCAAACTGCTCATCTGCAAAAATTGAGTACGTATTGATGTGAAGCATTATTCTATTCAAAATGATCTTTTCAAAAAGTTTACTTATTGAAGAAAGCAAACTTATTGGACGGTAGCTAGAAGCTTCAGCTGGATTTTTATCCGGCTTCAAAATTGGAACAACTTTTGCATTTTTCCATTTATCAGGAAAGTATGCCAAATGGAAACATCTGTTAAATAATTTTACCAAGAAAGACAAGGTACTCTCTGGAAGTTTTTTGATGAGGATATAGAAAATTCCATCATCACCTGGAGCTTTCATATTTTGAAACTTTTTAGTTATATATCTTACTTCCCGAGAGAAAATATTCAGAAAATCCCGAGCAACCTGATTCTCAATAGGACTAGTAAGACCCAAACTGAAATTATGGGAACTCTCGAATTGCTTAGCAAGTTTCTGAGCTTTTTCCAAATTTGTGATCAAAATTTTACCACCTTCTTTAAGCGCTGGAATAGGCTTTTGAGGTTTTTTCAAAATTTTTGTAAGTTTCCAAAAGGGTTTGGAACTCGGGTCTAATTTAGAAATATTATTTTCAAAAGTTTTGTTCCTCAGGGCAGAGAATCGCTTTTTAATTTGTTTTTGCAAATCCCGCCAGATAACTTTCATGGCAGGATCGCGTGTTCTTTGATATTGTCTCCTACGGACATTTTTAAGACGGATCAAGAGCTGAAGATCGTCGTCTATTATAATTGAATCGAATTTAACCTCGCATTTTGGTACTGAGGCAGCTCTTGCTTCAACTATAGAAGTAGTCAGAGATTCAAGAGCATAATTAATTTCATCTTTGGTTTGCAAAGGAATGTTTGGATCGAAGTTAT